CGGAGGCGGAGGATGGCGCTGACAGCTACAAACGACGGCGCCCCGTGACTCATCCCGGAATAAAACATCAACATCTCGCTCGCAGCCTCCGCTCGCCCCCGCCCCCCTGCGCCGAGCGAGGGTGCTGCCGGTCCGCCCACGCCGCCCGCGCCGCTCCCTCTGCTGTGATGCCCCGGCCCAGGGCGCTCCGGCACCCGCCAAGACCGCGGCGCCGCGACGACAAGCACTCGCTCGCGGAGAGGGGATTGCGAATAGAATTTCATTTACGAAATCCGATTTGCGTCTAGTTGAGCGTTAACTCGTTTATGGAAATTATATAAATGAATATAGAGAAAAAAAAGAGTCGATTTTGTGAATTTATGTTTTGATCCAAATATATTTTCCGGAAATGTTGTTTTCTGGAGAATGAAGCTTGTAACAAGTTGGAAGACAATTTGAAAGTAATGAGTAGAGGGCGGTTTTAAAGAAATGTTTTATTTTACTTTGGAACAATGCCTTTTCATATAGACATTAATTTTATGATATAACTAAAGAAAATTACTAATTTTTATGACATTTTTTTTTGCATTATTCGTCATTTTCGACAAATAAGTCATATTTTTTGGTTACTTATAAAGCATTTCGTGCGGATTTCATCGATTTTAATATCATTTTAATGGCCCTTGCTTCAAATAATATTTACGAGATGCAACATCACAGGATTACTGAGTTGCCTATTCGCCTTCTTCGCACACAAATTGTAATGTCAGTCTTTGCGAGTACGTAATCTAAGGTTCCTGTGACGCCTACCAGTGCCATTGCCGATTCGGCCGAATTTGGCGTAACTAAAGACAGATTTCCTGGTAAACAACTGTGCTAACCAAAGCCTGCAAGCTGGTATTCAGTAGAACAAAAGTAAGAAGCCTCGATTACAAAAGAAACATACCCAACAGCTTGACTTGTTTCTAAGAACAGACTTTGACTAATGTTTTTTAATCTTTGTGTTTAGTACATTTTCGAAACATTTTCAAAACATTTTATAGATTGTTTCGGGAGATGTTTTTAGGTCATCAAAATCCGCCCCCTAGTAATAACTAACGAGAACCAGTTTCAACTCGGATCTTGGCGACATGGCATGGCGCAAATCCTTGGAACGTTCTCGTGCGTCTGCTGCGTAAAAACGCACTGGGAGTGGCGCCCGGCGCTGCGCCTTTCGAGGTGGGCGGGCGGAGGGGGGGGTGCGGCGGGAGGGGGCGGAGAGCCGACCACCCGCCAGACATCCCCGCACCCCAAGTATTAATCCGCGCTCGTTCCGCCCGCTTCCGCCCTCCGGCGGCCGAGGCCATGTCGCATGTATCGGCGCCAGTGCCCCTCCTGCGATTATCCGGGCTCTTTCAGCGCCCTCGCTGCCTCCCCCTCCCTCCCCGTTCGCGTCCCGCACGCCCGCCCCCTTCGAGCGCGAACGGGATGCGCTCGTGCCCGACCCCGCCCCGCTCGCCCCGCCCCGCCCCGCACGCCCGCCCTGCCCCGGTCTGCCCCGCCCCCGCCTGCCCCGCCCCGCCTGCCCCGCCCCGCCTGCCCCATCGCCCCGCCCCGCCTCCCGCCCGCAACACTCCTCAACTGACTCGAAAGCCAGGCAAGGTAAATGCCCAGCACTGGTGCCGGCGGCGCTTTCTCTGTCCAGGTGATCCGGTGCAGTTCATATGGGGAAATCACTATAATATAGAAACCGCTTTGTCGATTGCTGTCAATATAACTTACAAGTACGTCCATGCGATTTTCTGCAAAGCGTCATTTCCAGACATTTAAAATGCTTTTCCTACTATCTCGTGGCAATTCCATGCGCCCCCACACTGGTGGCAAGACACGGAAGTGGGCCAGTAGAAATGGCTGCATGTACCCTGCTGCCTACGTAGAACGCGACCGTCTGGGGGCGCGATGAAAGAATGCAGAGTCTTCCTCGGCCCTCTTCGAAATCGACCGCAGCTCTTTAAGTAGCGCGAGGGAGGCGCGCCGAAGGGGGTGGACGGGAGCAGGGGAGGGGCGCGCTTTCCAGCAACTGAGTCAGCGTTATGATTTCTTCCGCATTCGTCATTGCCGCTAAGGCGGGCGGGAGCGGTTTAGGATAGGGGAAGCGAGCGCGCGGGTGGGTGCGGCAAGGGGCAAGGACGCGCGGCGAGGCGGACGAGCGGCCGGCCGTGGGCGGGCTGACAAGTCGCAGCTGTCTGCTTAGAGGCAGACGCACAGCGTCGCTAGGGGCGATGGAGGATAGGGGGGGGCGGCGCGGGCCCCTCCAGATAAGCCCCCTCTGCGAGCCAGGAAGGCATCACCGCTAGCTGGCGCGGAGGACAACGCAAGGGAGCGCCGCGCCCGCAGCACGCGACCCCGTGCGAGGCATCCAGCAGCGGCGCGGATCCCGTAGGCAGGCCGACGTGGGGAGACAGCGCGTGTACCACAAGGATGAGGAAGGCGCGGCCGGCCAAGGGCCACGGGTGTACGGGCGGTGGTGGTGGGGAGGGCGAAAGGGCGGAGGAGAGAATACCGCGCAGCCGTACCATAATTGTCCACTTCCCGCCCCTCCCCCCACCGCTGACAGCAGACTCTAAAATTGAAATCAATGATATGTACGAGCAAAAATGAGAGAAACATGAGCAAGATAAAAAATCCGCAGTCCAAGCCACTAGAACCAGAACACTCAATACACATACTCTTGCCCCCATCGTCACGCGGAGGCGGTGACTTCGTGGCAAGGTCGTAGAACGTGGACTAGAGTCCAAGACTTACTGAACTAACTGGTGATTGTTCTTTCTCTGGGAAATGCACGTAGCCGAAACGCCTTAAAATCCCGGACTCATGTGGCACAACTTGTGCAAGCTCCTACGATTATTCAGGAACACATTAGATGTGGGTCTGTACAAGAAAATAGTCAAGGAAGTTTTGCTATTCATATAATTTAAAAATGAAGATACGAATGGTTACTATTCCAAACAGTAATGGAAAATTCACTATAAACGCATTT